TTCCCTTTTTGCCCTTTTAACACAGTCTTGGTAACCCCTCGTCCATACAATCTCGACCTGGATGTTCCGGTCCCATGACTGATGCAAAAGCATCGATTGAATGATTGTCACCTTCACTTTCCTGAGTAGATTGCATTCTCTCCATTTCAGCCTACAAACCAAATGCGAGAAAAAAGAGTTTTAAGTAACTAAAGTTGAATCAATAATTAAGAACAAATAAATAAGCATGACAAACTTTAAACTAGAAATTTCGTACAATTTTACTAGTCGTATTGTCATATGAGCTTTTGTATGCGCGGCCAAGTTTTCTTTTTCTTGTTGCCACAAACATGTCCTTACTTGATACAGTATCTGAAGTATCAGAGATTTCCTTCTTTTTTTCCTAGTTACATGAAAACAAGTAATCTTTCCATATAAAGTTAGCAAGTCCATAATTTTAAAAAAATAAGAAAGATAAAACATCAAACCTCGCGAATTAGAGCAAAAGGTGTTCTGCCAGCTGTGTGTGGACACTTCAACTTATTTCGATTCACTATATTGGTTTCGGACATTTTCTGCAAATAAACGAGTCAACCAAATAGCAACCAACAGTAATTAGTCTTGCACATTAGATACTGAAACATGTGAAAAGATATGACAACTGTGATACTATATTACTATGTGACAAATACTAATATTTGCAGAATAACAGATACTAAAAGAGAATGCATACTGCAGCATCATCTTAAAAAGCAGCTAGCTTACACATTATATAGAATATCACAATGCAGAAAAGATCTGGATTACTTCAAGGTCTGTTTCTACATTTTCAAAAGATGGTGGAAACTTTGAGCATGTGAAGGGCCTGTCGATACCATGCATGCGTGAAAATATGTTCATATGTGAAGGGTGGACAGATTATAGATACGAAATTTACTGGAAACCCTCACTCAATAATACCAGCATAGCTGTAGAGATACAAGGTTCCTTGCCTTTTGGATGTCCACTAGCCAAATGTTCAAGGTTACACTTTGTGCAGACTTGTGAGGAAAGAGTACACAAGTAGATGGATAGCAGAAAAGACTGGACCTTAACTGATTTGTCAGATACCTGATCTCACGAGATCAGGATTTACCATATGTTTCAAGCAGTGTTTTGGATAGGGCCTCAAAACAGCCTCTGTTATGAAAAAAACAGAAGAGATGTCCTAATATGTGCAAGTCATATCCCTAGCTGCTAACTATGTAACAAGCAGACCTTTCTTGGCTCTATCAGGATCTAGATTAATAGGTTTGGAAATTCTGGATCCACCCTCTTCAATAGCCTGGTCTATAAGGACTATAGCATGTTAACATCCAAGTCTTTTGACTCAGATACATTATCCAAATAACTTATGCTACCTTGGGACTTGTCAGTGTTTTTATGTTACCCGGAAATTTGTAATCAGAAGAAATATTGAATACAAATGAATAGAACTGCAATACATAACGTTGCTCTAGAGCAGCTCAACAGATGTGTATGATGAATACTACGTCTTAATCATCTGAAAAGATCTGGATTTGATGTCTTACATCCAACAAGATTCATGATCACAAGCAAGTTTACCTTGTGAGGATCGGAGTTCCAATAGTTAAGAAGATCCTTAAAGTGAGATTCCGGAACATCTATTGGCCTATTCTCCATTCGAAGCTCATCATTGTCATAGGCTGTGAAGTGAGTTGCCTTTAATTGACTTTTATACTTTCTCCAAGCACTACAAACTGATTCAAAAACCCATTTTTTTGCCTCGTCGGGAATGTCATATTTTTCCTACAAATTTAGTGCAATTGGGTTAGTGTAAGAAATAAGAAATAGCATCCATGTTTATTGGACATTGGTAACTTCATACCTTGATATATGTCCACATATCATCTTTTGTGTCTAGTTTCCTCCAATTAACTACATTAAGAGGACAAAAAGTCACACTCCTTGCCAATGTGCCGAGGAAGCTACCCAGCTCTTTTACAACCTCTTTAGTAGGACCAATGGGTTGATTAAACTCATTTAGAGTGATTATTTTACGCTCCTTTCTAACATGAACTCTTGGCATTTGAGTACGACCTCTTTTTCTTTTTGGCGAGGAGGGGCCTGCAATAGTACAAAACAAAGATAATCATTAATCACTATTTTTAGTTAAGTTTATGATTAAAAATTTTTATATATTTGCCTTGTTCCTCAATTTGTTCAACTGCTTCATGAGTGGTAGAATCATCAGATCGCTCATGTACTCCCTGTGATGCAGGAGTGATGGAATCCATATTCGCTTGTTGCACTTGTTCGTGTACTTCTTGTGTTGCTGAAGAGGTGCAATTCTGTGGCACTTGTTGTACTTGTTCTTGCAATTGAGATCCACCTTCGGATTGTCGTTCTTCATTTGCATTTGACCGTAGAGCTTTCAAGGTTGTTTTTGTTGTCAACAACGAAACCTTTTGGTTTCGCAAAGATGAAGGTAATCCACCTTCTGATTGTCGTTCTTCATTTGCATTTGACCTTGTAGCTTGGAAGGTTCTTTTTGTTGTCAATGACGAAACCCTTTGATTTCGCAAAGATGCAAGTGATCCAGCTGGAATGCGGTTGGATATTTTCTTATTTCTGCTTGAGCACCCTTCTTGATTCATGACTATTCAAATATTTTTCAGATTCTGAAAAGCAAACACAATATAGTTTAGCCTTTAAACAACAAAGAAACATCAAGTCATTCAAGAAAAGAAACATCAAGTCAATGACTATATTTGGGCTAATTCTTAACGTACTGTTGCTGCTGGCTATACAAGCAGTTAAGAAGTACAGTTAAGAAATACAAGCACTCAGAAATAACAGCATCATCACATTCAATATTACTATGGTCTTATTGCAACTGAAAGCCATTATTATCAGGTGAGTAGTATGTGAATTGATTTGAAGTTGCCGATGAACTTCCAACATATTCAACATGACTTTGAACTGAAGGTGCCATCTCATCAATATTCTGGCTATAAGTTTCATTAAAAATAGTCTTTACTTTGATCAACAGATATGATCACATACAATCTGATTATTGCTAGTGCAACTGAAATCTCAAAACAATTCAAAATAGTCTTTACTTTGATCAACAGATATGATCACATATGATTGTTACTTAAATGACTCAATAAAACTGTATGTAGTATTAACAAGTTTGTTGGAAAAATATATCTCAGATGTGTCACACCCTACATACATAATATCTACACAATTATAATTCATTTGCTCAGCTTATAGTCTTGAATTTTCAACGTAGGTGGGGGTGTGAATAATTACAATGATGCTTACAGCTCAACCAAGATCCACTGCCCTCAGCTCAGAAATCCAACATGTCCTTACCGCCCGGGCACCGGAGATCATCACCAGCGGCCGGAGGAAATTCATGTCAAAAAGAAGTATATTACAAGATAAAGCTTTGATCCAAAGTGGGAATAACAAAAAGACTGTGGAGAAATCTGCTGAGGAGAGTAAATTGGTTTCTTCTGGCAAAAGTGGGAATCTTGATGTGAAAGCAGTGATTACTTTGAGGAAGAAAATGAAGGAGAAAATGAGAGACAAGATTGAAGATCAGTGGGAGTCTTTAATGAATGGGATTGGACTGAAGCACACTTTTAACTAAGACAAATTTCAGTAACTCAAGCAATTTTCAGCAGCAAATCAGTTTTTCAACTGAAGCACACTTTTAACGAACACAAATTTCAGTCCACAGAGCAATAACACCCTCAAGTCGATTCAAACTCAACCAAACTCATTTATATTAGCTATAATATTGCTATAATTTCATGGAGGATAGAAATTACCAACTAAACCAAAGAGGACGTGGGAGAAGGGACGGGCCTCAACAACTGAACAAAAGTATCCGAAATCTCTCTCAAATCCTGCAAAATTGAAGCATGTCAGAATAATTTCTAAATGATATAAATAAAAATAATCATAAAATATTTATATACAAAAAAACCATTATCACTCACTCAAAAAAGAATTAACTTAAAAGAATTTTATAATTTTGTTATTTAATCATCTGCTTCCATCCAGTCCCAATCAGTATCATCAAACCCATCCTCCTCCTCCGATGTTTCCCCAATTGTATCATGTGAATTTTGTGCATGAGATGGAATATCAATGATATCAACGGGTACATCTTCTCTTGACCATCTAATGTCATCATCAAGCAATATAGATGAGGAACCAATGTCATTATTAGGTTCCCGCCAAAATGTATCTCCAATATTAGGAGAATTCTCTTCCTCCAGATCATATAAATCAACAGGTACTTTACTCCTTGCATAATAAACATCTTTCTCAATTGGATCCTCCACATAAAAAACTTGATAAACTTGTGATGCCAACACAAAAGGGTCATCTGTACTACATAATCTATTGAAGTACACCCTAGTAAACCCATAATCATCTATTTCATTACGAAACCAATCACATCTAAACAGTACAACACTAAAAGAACCCCAATAATCAATCTCAATGATATCCTTAATCGCTCCATAATAGATAACCTCGCAATCGATGGGATTTTGGTCCCTAGCACTAGCAAAACTATCTGTTGTTGCCGATAAAGTCACTCCACTATTTTGAGTCTTGCCTCGGGAATCCCATTCTTTAGTATGAAATCGTTATTCATTAATAAAATATCCTGTATATCTTTTGGCTACTATATTAGGTCCTTTGGCTAGCCATCTTAAATAATCTGGCAATACAATATTTTTAACTTTTTCTTTAAACCAATTGTTGAATTCTCGACTATGATCCCTTGCTCTTACCCATGCATTTGATCTACTATGATTAACAATTAAATTCTTATGTTCCCTGCAATCAAGAACATTTCAAGTTTAATCATATATTAAAGAAAAAATTATATAAGAATATAAATATTAATATAATTTATCTTACTCGATAAACTTTTCCATTTGTTCATCTCCAGTATTGAACAGAGCATACCGATGTGCTTCAAAGCATAACTGTGAATCCATGAGAAAAGTATTTTTTTTCTTACTTCCAATTGGATGGCCTATATTAGGGAATATAGGTGACAAATTTTGAGAGCACTCATCATCCACAGTTTGGTACCTACTGAATTTTGTCTTCACGCCATCATGTAAATATCTCGAACAAAAAGTCAAGCACTCATCGGCCAAAAACCCCTCTGCTATTGACGCTTCTGGACTAGATCGATTACGTACAAAGGCCTTGTACTTACATAGGTTCCTCTCAATGGGATACATCCAACGAAGATGAGCCGGACCCCCAAGCTTAATTTCATTCACCAAATGAATAGGCAAATGTGGCATTATGTCAAAAAATGTTGGATGGAAAATCTTTTCAAGCTCACATGTTATTTCAACAATTTCAGACTGCATTGTTTCAAGATCTTTTCGCCTTATGACCTTGCTACATATAGCTCTAAAGAAATTTCCTAACCTAATCAAGGCCAATGAAACATTCTTGGGCAACACTTTTCTAACAGCAACCTGGAGCAAGTAATGCATTATAAAATGGGCGTCATTACTCTAGTACCCTATTTCTAATAATGTCCCAAGCAAACTATCACATATGTTTTTCTCGATGTGCATCACATCAAGATTGTGCCTCAATTTGTTATGCACCCAATATGGCAATTCAAAAAAAAATGGATCTCTTTCTCCACGGACCCCTATCACTCCGAGGCCTTTTTTTAGCTCTCTTTCCAAAGATATTGTTGAATTCAAGTAGCTCTTCAAACACTTCTTCACCCGACAATGGAGCAGGTGCAGGTCTATGCACCTCCTTACCATCAAAAGACTTTTTATCCCGTCGGAATGGATGATCACGAGGCAAAAATCTTCGATGGCCCAAGTAACACATCTTATGACTATTTTTGAGATATTGAGAACATGTGTCATAATTGCAAGTGGGGCATGCCAATCTCCCCTTAGTGCTCCATCCTGAAAGCATTGCTAATGCTGGAAAGTCACTAACTGTCCACATTAAGGCAGCACGCATTCAGAAAGTTTGGTTGGTTTCAACATCAAATGTGTCTATCCCAGTTTCCCATAGTTCCTTTAATTCTTCAATTAATGGTCGTAGGTACACATCTATATCATTTCCTGGAGATGATGGACCTGGAATGATCATAGACAACATTATATACTCCGGCTTCATGCAAATCCACGGTGATAGATTATAGTTCACTAACATAACATGCCACGTGCTATGAGAAATGCTCATCGTCCGAAACGGGTTCAGACCATCACTTGAAAGACCCAATCTAACATTCCTAGCATCTCTAGAGAAGTCTGGGTGCAAAGAATCAAAAGCCTTCCAAGCTTCCCCATCAGCAGGATGTCTTATGTTCCCATCATTGGGTCGTTCATTAGCATGCCATCTCATTGCAGCAGCCGTTTCAGGACACATGAATATTCTCTGAAGCCTAGGCTTTAAAGGAAAGTACCTTAAAATCTTTGCAGGGATTTTAGAGCTTGCTTTAGTCAAAGGACCAGCACTCTTCCATCTTGAAGACCCACAAATAGAGCAATTATCGGCATTCGCATTTTCTTTCCAAAATAACATGCAATCATTAGGGCATGCATGTATTTTTTCGTAATGAAGACCCAAATCTGTTATCATGTTTCTAGCCTTGTTGAAAGATTCTGGTACCTGAGCAAAGGGAAATGCCTCTTTTATCAACTCTAACAAATCGGAGAAAGCCACATTGCTCAACCCATGCAAGGATTTAAGCAAGTACAATCGAATAGTGAAACTCAGTTTACTAAAATTTTCACACCCCGGATATAACTCTTGTTTTCCTTCCTCCAACAATTTGAAAAACTTCTTTGCATCTTCAGATAGTCTTTCCCCAACTCCTTCTTCATCCCCTACCTAACCCTCTATATTTCTAAATGTATCATGAAGTAGTCCATCAATATCGTCACGCATGGTAGAACCTTCATCATTATTGCTTGCATGAGGTGTACTTCTCGAGGAAAATCCTTCACCGTGGAAAACCCATTTGGTATAACTATCAACAAATCCATGAACAACCAAATGATCCTCCACCACATTTCTATAATACCAATAGTGATTCATGCACTTTTTGCAAGGGCATAATATTTCATTTCCTTGGGCGGCTCGCTCAAATGCCTTATCAAGAAAATCATTCACTCCACGGATATACTCATCCGTCCATCTTAGGAGATTCATCCAACTTTTATCATCATTATCCATAGATATCCTATACGATAAAACAGAGGAATTAGTAGTAATAAAGAACTAGCTAACAACAACAATGACAAACCTCGTAAATTCTACAAGTGGGGTTCTAGGGAGAGTAGTGCGTTCGTAGACCTTATAACCCCTACCTGAGTTCTGGGGAGGGTAGTGTGTTCGTAGACCTTATAGATATCTTCATATTGCATAAGACTCCTCTGGTTCAACCATCTTATTTTACTTATGTGTGCTACATTATCAAAAAAATACTTAGCCTGGACTTGAATAATACTAAGCCTAGAGTTAGAATAGTATCGTCTTGGTTTCGTTTGGGGGGAGGTAAGATCTGTAACCACATTGTATTTTTGTTTTGCATTGAACTATCCAAAAGTATATATAAAAAACATGTTTGATAATGTAGCTTTCTGTGCGGAGTGTGACTGATATTCAGTTGAACACTAAAAAAGTAACAAGCTGCATATGAAAGAACCCAAGCATCCAATTATTGCCAACCACAAAATTCCTTGGAGGATGATCGTCACTTCATGTGCTTGATGGGGATGTAAATCTATGATATCTAATTCATCTGTTCCAACAGCAAAAAACCATTAGAAAATGTCATCTTTCAACTTGTAGCTCTCGAATATGCCTAAGTTCACTTTATTTTGTTCTTCTATCATTTAATTGTTATAATTTTTCTTATTCATAGTAAGTTGTTATTTTTTAAATTATTTTATGAAAATAATAACTCCTACCTTCGAATTTGATTGTGCGGGTTTTTGCTTCCATTAGAAATATACCAGGTAACGTTTAGACTCTAAGCTCATTTCAACTTTGTTTCCTCTACTTCAACCACCTTTCTTTCCTGATGAAAACCTAGGTAACATCTTATGTGACCTTGTGTATTCTTTAATTGATGCATCCAGTAATATTCTTTAAGATGCCATTTTGGTACTTCTAGCCATTGGAGTATCTGTTGGGGCATAGCTTCTTAAGGTGTTGCCATTGGCTAGCTCACCAAGTGGGCATCTATTTTCTGCTTGTAGCATACTGGGATATACTCTTAAGTGTGGTTTGAATAAGAAAAAACCTTGATTTTGTGGAAAAAGAGAATCTTGATTTAAATGGTAATCTCTCTGCTATTAGTTTTGAGATCTTTGAGAATTTTTACTTTGAAAATGTATTTTCTATGTTAAGCTGGAGGTGTTGTACTAGGTTCTTCTAGTGTGGATATCTTTATTTTTGCCTAATTAGATTATGGGTTGTTTTGATTTCTTATTTTGGATATCCCATTAGAGCTGCTTTTGGCTTTCCACAGTTCAGCTTTGATTAAAAGACATTCTGGATTTGGATTAAAGTCAAGAATTTGGTAGAAAAGACTTAAACTTTACTATAGAATTTTATCTCTTTAGCAAGTTAAAGTCACACATTTGGTAGGAAAGTCTTAACCTTTAGTGGAGAACTTTCCTTTTTGGTTAATTGATTCTTTTTGTAACTTTTCAGGATTCTTTGTTATGGTATGTTAATCTCGTGAATGCGATGATTGCTCATGCTAGGATTTATTCTGAGATTTTGAAGGAGTTTAAAAATACATGAGAAATATAAATCTTTTAGGACAGTGTTACACCTTATCAATTGCCACTGTAGAGTAGAGTTCAAATCTGGGCAGGTTGTAAACAGTA